TCCCATCCATCCATCCATCCATCCATCCACCTCAGCTCTTATCATTGCTACTAATACTACTACTACTACTACTACTACTCCTGCTACTACTACTACTGCTACTACTACTGCTACTACTGCTACTACTACTACTACTACTACTACTACTCCTACTCCTACTCCTACTTCTACTCCTACTCCTACTCCTACTACTGGTATTACTGTGAGTTTTCCGGACCGTTTCCGGACCGCGCAATTTTCTTTTCTTCTCAAATATGAAAACGAATGCGTTCATGGGCGGATCCTTCTACTAGTGTTGCTACTACTCTCAGTATTACCACTAGCGCCGCTACCACTGCAACGCCGCTACCACTACTACACCGAGGAATTTTTGCCTTTGCTTTTCTCCACTTGACAGAAGTTCCACGGAAGAGTCAGAAATAGTCAGAAACCAGTCAGAAACCGGCCAAACGCAACCTCTCTCTCTCTCCCCCTTGCCTATTCCCTCACCCTCCTACCAGAACTCCTACGCCTACTCCTATTCCAATTTCCACTACCACTACTGCTAGTGCTACCACTACTGCTAGTGCTACTGCTACTGCTAGTGCGCTGTGAGTTTTCCGGACCGTTTCCGGACCGCACAAGCTTATTTTGCTCCCAAATTTGAAATCGAATGCGTTCACGCATGGATCCTTACTCTCATTACTAGATTTGCTACTACCCCCGGCACTACCACCACACCCGCTGCTACTGCACCACCCTGCACCACCACTACCACCACTACCACTAGTACACCTAGGAATTTCTGCTCTTGCTTTTAAATCCAATTGCACTCGTGTGAAGGGTCAGAAACGAGTCAGAAACCAGTCAGAAACCAGTCAGAAACCCAGTCAGAAACCGGCCAAACGCAATCTCTCTCTCTCTCTCCCTTGCCTATTCCCTCACCCTCCCATCAGAACTCCTACGCCTACTCCTATTGCAATTTCCACTACCACTACTGCTAGTGCTACTGCTACTGCTAGTCCTGCTGGTACTACTGTGAGTTTTCCGGACCGTTTCCGGACCGCGCAAGCTTATTTTGCTTCCAAATTTGAAATCGAATGCGTTCACGCATGGATCCTTACTCCCACTACTAGATTTGCTACTACTCTTAGTACTACCACCACACCCGCTGCTACTGCACCACCACTACCACTAGTACACCTAGGAATTTCTGCTCTTGCTTTTAAATCCAATTGACACGAGTTCCGCTGAAGGGTCAGAAACGAGTCAGAAACCAGTCAGAAACCCGTCAGAAACCGGTCAAACGCAACCATCTGTTTCCCCCTCCCTCCCTCTCTCTCTCTCTTTCTCTCTTTCCCTCCCTCTCCCTTTCTTCCCTTGCCCTGCTACTAGAACTCCTTCTCCTATTCCTACTCCTACTCCTACTCCTACTCTTACCCCTCCTACTATTACTACTACTACTACTACTACTACTACTACTACTACGACTACTACGACTAGTACTACTAGTACTACTAGTACTACTAGTACTACTAGTACTACTGCTGCTGGTACTACTGTGAGTTTTCCGGACCGTTTCCGGACCGCGCGAGCCTATTTTGTTCCCAAATTTGAAATCGAATGCGTTCACGCATGGATCCTCATTATATAATACATAACTTATATTTTATGTATATGATCTGATCAACGAAGAACAAACCCTTCCGCGATTGCTCACTGTGGTACCGCGGTTGCTACGCGATTGGCTGAGCGATTGAGGGCTGTCCGGGAAAAGGTATTTTGGACAACCCCCACATCAGAAATTTCTAGCTGAAATATTTCTAGGTTGGGGGGATCTAATAGCTATTTAGGAGTATCAACGACTGTGGGGCCATGTCCATTGGCCAGGATGGCTAGTCTATGGTAGTCTCATCAGTGGTTTCTCTGGGGATGGATTCATACAATATCAATGGGGAGACAGGAAAATGAACATCCATAAATCCCAGCTATTTTGAGGTTCACCAGAGTAATTACCAGGGTTGGAATGTTTTGGAGCATTTAATTTTTGTGGACGCTGCAGACCAAATGGGTTCCCAATTGTACTTGGCTTGGATTACCTGAATGGTTGAACCTTGACAACTATTGCTAGAGCCATTGTGTTTCTAAAAGTATGGGTACACAAAGGAGTTTCTAGCAGTTTGAGGAATTTGGCCTTGGCAACAAAGGTATCACAATCATAATATGGGTCCAATGGCCAATGGGGTACGGGTATATGCCAGTTGCAACTTGTTTTCTTCTTAAAAAGTAGGAAATCCCCATCCCCATTCTATCCATTTCTTGCTCATCATTTTCCTATATCTTCCCCATTGAAATTGCAAAAAATTGGGCTATACCCGATAGTATCCCGACACGTTTTGGGCTCGCACAGTCCACCAGTCATTGGAGTTTTCTCCGTTTGTTTCATCAACAAACCTGACAAGTCCATTTCCATTGGAGTAAATATCACCATAATCGATTATGGATCAATCATCTACAATCTCAGAAATATATATCTAATCTCAGACTCTCAGAATTTCCAGTGGGTGTTTCCTAATCGAAACGCCCTTGAAACCAGGTGATTTGGGAAGCTTTGTTCCGGTGGAGTTCACCGTTGTATCTCCAGCACCACCACCTGGTGAATCAGCTTGAAGATTTGAGTTGACGTCTAATTATTATGGTGATCCTGCGAAATCATCAGCCTCTGATGTGTTTTCAGGAGCTGGTGACTGAAAAAATGGTGATGTCAGTGAATCTTAGTGAATCTTAGTGATGATTGAAGAATATTGAAGATATAATCGAAACTTACACCTTCCTCAATTCCGTCAGTGCACATCCAAAATTAGGGCAGTTGAAGTTCGAGAAGCGCAAGATATTGCAAGAAATTGCAAGTTTATGCAAAGAAGGAAAGCAAGGCATGCACGGGCACGTTGAATGCCTGGGAGGCTGCTAAAGCCTAGCTTTGCCTAGGAGAATCCAGCAGAGCCGCTGCCAAAGACTTTCAGCAGCATGGGCAATTTTAGCATATTTTAGCTGCACAATTCGATTTGGTGAAAAGATCTGTTGTCAGACCCATCGATTTCTAAATCTTTAGGGGCTGACATGGGTTGACTGATCATTTCAACTGTGCCATGGTCAAAAGTCAAGCGACATTTGTTTTTTTTAACCCATAGAAAGGAATGGTCAGTGATTGTCATCCCTTTATTGAGAGGGAATTAACACCAGCCCCGCTTTTCAACGTTTCAATTGTGGGATTCATGACCACGTCACCGTTGTACAGAGCCCATGGGCTGGATCCGCGGTGTATCCTGGGCGCCAAAAGTGGGTAGCCCCTCTCCAGTACTGAAACGTTCCAACAACACTTGGCCTGATGAGTAGGTGAGGTGTATGTATAAAGTATATAGATGTGTATAGATGTGTATAGATGTGTATAGATGTGTATAGATGTGCATAAAAACATGTGTTATAATACATGAGATGTATCAAGTACCATGACTCCGCAGCCGCGCTGGCTCTAAAAGCCACCCCGCGCTGGCATCGGGTGCCGATGTTGTCACCAAGGTGTGGGTTTGTGTCTTTGGGGAGACACGGTCAACAAAAACACAAGAATTCTTGTTTGTCTGCATGTTGCACCAGTCCCAGGTGAAATCTAAATTTTGGATGTGGAAGATCTCTTGTAGAATGGGATGGTGTTGAGATGTGTAGAGTATCAGAGTATATATATATATATCATTTATTCATATTTACCCTCTGGTAAACTAACATAAATAACTATGGAAAATCACCATGCTACTAGTGGGAAAATCCACTATAAATCACCATTTTCCATAGCTATTTGTATGTTTACCGGAGGGTATTCAGTATCACTGATATCACCATCCGTGTCCCCCAAAGGTCACCATCAGTGTCCTCGGTGCAGAGACAGCTGGAGGCGAGCTTGGATCCCGCCAGCCCGTGGATTCGATTCCAATTGTTGATAGAAAGGCCAGTTATAAGTTGACCCGATGTATATATATATATACTATATCTACTTATATCTTCATAGATTTTATATATACTATACATACAGCTTGGATAAATATACACACACATCCTTATGCTAGGATTGAACTGTATCACCCATCCAAGTGTGTCAAAGGCCTGTGGACGGGAACTTCTCAATCCGCCGATTGAGGACCTTGATCTCCTCAGGATTTCAAAGTTTGATAATGGCCTTGGATATACTAACCGTACTAACCATATGTTTGGACATGAGACTACCAACAACCAACAGGATATATCCAGCAAAATTGGGACCTCTTCACCGCCACGATGCGCCTAGGGGGCCAACTCTGAGCAGGACATTTCGGGATTTCGATGTTTCACCTGATCCAGGTATATTCTGAGGTGGATGATTTCAACAGATCTTCCAGCGAAGCACATATTTGATGGGAAGGGTAAGGGTTTAGGGTACTAAAAGGACAATCGAAACCCACTTCCACATCCATTTTGAGCCAGTTCTACCTAGGGAACTAGTCTTGCAACATCAGCAAGTTCGGGATGAACGACCACTTTGAATCACATAGAGGGGATGGGTCAATACCTACCAGTTTGGTACCATTTTTATCCATTTTGGTACCGAGGATCCCAAATTGCTTGACCCAGCGAAGGAGCTGAAAGAGAAGATTTTCATTTTTCTCTGCGTGGAGGATCGTGGCGGATGCTCCTTGATGACCCCCTAATGACCCCATTTTTAGCCCATGAGATTCGCCAATTTTGGCAGGTTCAACGCCACTTCCAACAGCTTCGTGACTCAGATCCAGGCCCTGTGTGGCCGCAGCAATCAACACTCTGGATTTTTTGATGTGTTGGGTCCCCATATGACACCATGGTCCCCTTCCCCCCAAGAAACAGCGGTGTTGAGTGGGGACATGGGGCGGGTTTTTCCAGGCGTTTGCGTCGCCGAAAAAGCGCCTTCGCAGAGGGTTGAGGCACCTGAGATCTTGGGATTTCACTTCTAGCGGGAGCTGCTACATGTTAGTGACCAAAAAAACAGAACTTGGTGATGGTTTCATGTGGTTTCATGTGGTTTCAGGTTCATTATGATTATCATTATTAGTATTATTATATATTATTATTGTTGTTGCTATTGGGATCTCATCTGGGGTTTTTTGACCACTTGCCAGGGACTTTTTACAGCGACTCCTTTGCACCGGGGTACCCAGGAGCTTGCGCAAGAGATGGCAAGCGAGCTGGAATCCCATCTGCAGCTCTGCCAGGTGGGGTCATGGTCACCTGGGATGGCCGGCCAGGATCTATTCAATCTATTCAACCTTCCAAAAAAGGCGAGCTTAGAACTTCTAGAACCCCTTGCATCATGGTATTCTATATGCATCCTAGATGGATTGTAGCTAAAACAAGGTCAAGACATAGATAATGACCGGGACGGTTTGCTCGTTTGCCAACTGACCACTTGACCCTCAACTCTGCGCAACTTTTCTCTCTGACGCGCCAGCTGCCCCACAGCCTTCCAGAGACAACCTTTGTTGTTCTTTGTCCATTACATCCTAAGAAAAGTTCTTATGACGTAGCATCAAGTAATACATATGTATATATATATATAAAAAGTATATATATATATAAAGTATATATATATATGCAAGAGAAGTTCTTATGACGTAGCATCAAGTAATATACATATATAAATCTATAACAAAGCTTGAAGTTGGAGTAGAAGTACAAGAGAAGTTCTTATGACGTAGCATCAAGTAATATACATATATATATAAATCTACACCAAAGCTTGAAGTTGGAGTAGAAGTACAAGAGAAGTTCTTATGACGTAGCATCAAGTAATATATATATAAATAACATAGCTTGAAGTTGGAGTAGAAGTACAAGAGAAGTTCTTATGAAGTAATATATACTATATATATACTATATATATATGTATGTATACAAGTTTATAACGTAGCCTGAAGTTGAAAAACAAACTCCGCGTGACGCTGAAACAACTATATGATAGTTAGCATTTTGGGGGATTCAATGGATTTGTGTATGTTGATATAACATTTGTTGATACATTCCTATGTGTGCCGTTCCGGTCGTATCTAACATGGGATATTTCCATATTAGATTTTCCCCCTTTTAAAGGGGGGATGGTCATCCAGGAGTTGGCAAAAACCAAAGCGGATGCTCAAGTTCATCAGTCGCTCGGAACAGCCCTAGGTAGATCGATTCTGGATTGGATGGACAGTTGTGTGGTTTGTCTATTTTTTTTGGGAAGGAACAATGTCTGACTGAGAGAATATCTGGATTGGATTCTTAATTATCTCTGCCAAGTGATATCTTTTAATACCTACTGTATTAAGACCATCATCCATCAAGTATGGCATAATGGGGATAAACATGATATACCATCATTATGTATCATAATGGGGATACTGTACGACCATCAACTCTATCTGTTCCAATCATCTTCTTAATGGTGGTATAATGGGGATTTAAGTATCAAAACTGCTGGTAGAATGGGGATATCATGGAGTATTTTTTAAAATAGTGGGGATACCCTCTGGTAATTCGTTGCAGTTTGGTATAGATGGCCCACGAACAGTTCGATGGTAAATTCCGAACTTGAAAACGATACTTTCTCAGAGTCATAGCTATGCTAAATTACAACATGGTAAATCTCTACAATCTATGTGCAGATATAATCATCCTCCTGTTTTCAAACATATTTCCACTGTAGTGAGGATGTTTTGAAATTTCCACATTCTGGCTACAGGGATGGATGACCAATATATATATATATACACATAGATATCTTGGTTTATCATCATGCCGTACTATAATTATATACATGAAGTATAGAGATGATCAATGATGATATTGTGGATGTATTTTCTACTTACATGATTTTTCACATCAAGTGGGTCTTGTTGAATTGTGGGCTTTTCATTTTCTCCAACGAGCGGTGTCACCCCAAGGCTTTGTGAGGAAGAGTTGGCAGAGCTGGCCCAACTTCAGGAGGACTCTGAGATCTTTGATTTTTTTTTTCCAAGACCGGGAAGTGAGCGGCAACAAGTCGCAGTAGAAATGCCAGATGCAGTTGGATTTGATGCTTGTCCCCGGTGGAAACGCTGAGGTTTTGACACACTTAGATACCATCTACAGTGGCAATTTTGGGTTGATTTTGGGGCCAGGAACCATTTTTCACAGAGCTAAACTCACCTATGGCACCTATGGAAGCCCAGAAGAAACCTTTGAGAAGCCTTGGAAAACCAGCTATTCGGAGTACCTCGGACTCCCTTAGGAGGACGATGGCGACGATGGCTACGAGGCAAGAAAGTTAGACCAACGTGGCTTGAATGATTTTTATGATCATGATATGGTCTGATATGGTCTGATATACTGTACTTCTAGTGATTGATACAATAAACTCAATAAACGTATACAGTGTCTTTCAGAAACATTTCGAAAAGGCTCATTTGCGATCTGATTTTTCGAATCATCGAATCATAGGACTAGAGTGATATCCACCAGTCATCCGACTGGGCCTTGGATGCTTCCAGCAACCACCAGCATTCCAGGCGAAACGGCGTGTCGCAGCTGTCGCATTTCAGGAAGAGGAGGCGGCTGTGGACTCCATGGGAACCTCCAACTCGGGGCTGACCCTCGGCCGCAGGCAGCCCTGGAAGAGTTGCGAACTCTGGCTGAAGCTGAAGAAACAGAGGTGGGATGATGTTGCGCGTTGCGAAGGCGCAAGGAGATTCACCAGGTGTTTTGAAATGGCTTGGTGAGAAAATCATGTAGGGAAAAGGCGAAAATCCACGCGAAAACAAAGCAGAACATTGAACGCATCTTGATTTTGGCAGACTCACCGCCGTTTTCAGCTCAAACCACGCCAAGACAAATCAAATCAGTCTTTTGTGCAATCACACTGAGATTTCCCTGGTGAAAATGTTGAGGCCTTTGGTGCTGCTCCTGCTTGAAGTGAACCTCGTCACTGCCTTCCGGGACAACCAAGCACTGGCACAGCAGAAGAGCACTTTCTGCCCCATGCACTGTTGCCGTCCTAAGTGCAGTGGCCAAAGCTATAGCCTGACAGGGAATTGGACATTTCAAGACTGCAAAGTCAGGAAGGGTGCCAAGGACTTGCATGGCTATGGCAGAACATGTTTTGAGGACTGCACGGTTGTCCACTCGGGAGAGCCCCAAAATGCCACTGTGATGCGTCGAAGTGGCGGTGGTTCGTCCCCGCAATGTGAGCTGTATCACCGTGACCTCCCATTGCAGGAATTGGCCATGGACTTTGTGGAACAGCTCGAGATTTCGGCCCTGAAACTGACCCGTGGCAACTATGGGGACCTGCCATTGATGAAGGCAGACAAAGTTGAAAGTTTCTTGGAGAAAGTAAAAGAGAAGGTCCTGAAGCCAGAGTTCGACCAGCAGGGCTACAGTCAGGAGATAAAGTCTAAGAATGTCGTGATCATCGGAGATCTTCATGGGCAGCTTTTCAATCTCATCGGATACTTGCTCTTCATCAAGTCCAAACTCAATGATAAAGGCCTCAGTATGCTAGACGGATCATCCTTACTTTTCTGTGATCCGAGCATGCAGTATGTCTTCATGGGAGACTATGTGGATCGTGGCGAACGAGGAGTGGAATTGCTTCTGCTTCTGCTGGCCTACAAGGCGAGGGGGTTCATGTGAAGGCTGGGTTTGCTTGTGGCCCTTGACTGGATCGCTTGTGGCCCCAATCTCGCAACGTAGAGAATACTGCCATCAGCGAACCTTCATTTTAGCGTGGCAGTCGCCTGATCTGTGGGAGAAGGTTCAGACAAAGATAGCAGATCGAAATTTCGTTAGCGGAAAGAGGGATGAAGCAGAGGATGAATTTAGATCATGGAGTAAGATGAAAGATCTAGAAATCTAGTCCAGAGCTTGTTTGGAGGAGGGCTGAAGTTCATGAAGTAAGAAGACAGATCATCCATGCTTGTTTGGGCGACCAGAGGGGGGGCAAAACTTACGTAATGAAGTGTAATGGAAGATAGTTTGTCCCTTGGTTGGAGGCCAAATGCGAAGGAAAATTGAGATAGTAAAGTAAGTAGGTAGAGGATGGTAGAGGCCAGAAGGGAGGAAGAACTCACATGGCAGTGATGGAATCATAGGGTCACAAGATGTCACAAGTGATCCAGACACGAACCGCGAGCCCTTCTGCCCTGAAGGCCCGATGCCCTGAGGGAATGGCTCTCTTGCAAGGCAACCATGAGACTGCTGAAATGTGGTTCCCATATGGTTTTGCCGCGGAGCTGAAGTGGAAGTTCGATGAGAAGGTTCGACTGGGCGACATCGAAGACGTGGTTGAGCTCTTGCCTTATGTGGCTGTCGCCCCAGAAAACTGGATGGCCATGCACGGCGGCCTCAGCCCTGCGTTGGAGAGAGTATGCAGCGGCAAAGGTGGTCGCTTCAGTGAATGTTTGACAAAAGATGTGGGTTACACCACCGTTTGGGCTGATCCACATGATGGCTATGGATGGAAACCTTCCCAAAGGGGCCCACAGTTCAGCACATTTGGCATGGACGTGGCACGAGCCTTCTTGGAATCCAACAACCTGAAGGGCATCTTCCGTGGCCATGAACAAGTGGAGAAGGGCTGGGTGCGGAAAAAAGACCAGGACGGCTACTTCGTGGCCACCGTCTTCTCTGCAGCTGACTATGTTGGCCTTTTTTGCAAAAAAGACGGGCGCCTGCCGGGCTGGGACAAGGGGATGTTTTCCACGCCGGGTGACGGCAATTTGGGTGGTATTGTGGTGGTGGACCTCGCAGAGGGCTCACATGCATTCCAGCGGTTGCAAGCCAGCAAGACCCGAGAAATTGCCGCGAAGTTCACCAAAGCCCAGTGCGAAATGGGCTTCAGTCTGTTGGAATCGCAGTCCGAAAGCCCACCCAAGGTCACCCTTGAGAGCTTCATTGAGGACAAACACAAGAGCATCAAGCGTCTTGGAGATGGCAACCATGGCAACCTTGATTCCTGCAGCTTGGATAAGGATGAAACAGAGGCCTTGAAAGAAAAGACACGTCAGATCCTTGCCAATGCCGAGAACCGAGAGTTTGAAGCCCGGAAGTTGATCGATTTGCAGGGAGAGGCGCTGATTCATGGTGAGAACCTTGAGATTTGCAAAGCAATGAAGAAGGACAAGGCAATGTTGGAAGTGTACCATGAGCTCGATGGCACGGATGAGAAGATCTTGGAGTTCGACATCGAGATCAGGGAACATGAGTTGGAGGAAGTCCTGGAGTGAGTGTGCTGTGGATCCACCATTTGCTGGCAACTTCCATAAAACTCTTGGATTTGTATTCCCTCCAAAACATTCCAATGAGGCGCTTGCTGATGATCGCAGGAAAAGAATGAGCATTCAGCATTTGGTTATATGATGTTATATGTATACCATATACTGTACCATCATGAACCATACGTATTTATATATATATATATTCCAATATACACCATTATATACCCCATTTTCACACCGAACGGCGGGAGGTCGCCCGGCTGCGAGCATTGGTGGACTTCGAGGAACAGCTGGGGCTACCAAGGAGCCAACTAGCTAGCATCAATGCGTGAGCCAAGCGCGTAGCATCAATCATGTACACAACGGGTGGAATCTGCGTTAACCATTTAACCTATCCGCAATGTACTTGTGAACAGCCCACCCCATGTATCCCCATGTTTTCCCGACCCCACCCCATCCCGTCTTCAACGTGGCATCGCACTACACTCACGAGAGGTTTTCAGGGTTCGCTGACACCGTGAGGTTTTGACATGCAAAAAGCGAGAAATTCGCCCTGGCCAGGATTGAAATCCATGATGAAGTCCTCAGCCTGGGGACGCCAGGAGCTCAGAAGATCTCAGCTGCGATTTTAGGCTACCGGAGGGTCGGCACCTCGCTCCCGACGCCGAAAATCAACTCGCTTTCAGCGCCGAAAATCGACTCGCTCTCGACGCCTCTTTACTGACATCGACAACATGATAACGTCAACAACAAGAACAAAATCAACAGCAGTCTCCAAATCGACAACACAAAAAACATTAACAACCACAACAACATCATCAACATTCACATCAACATCAACATCAACGCCAACAGGAACATCAACATCAACATCAACAACAACAACAACAACAACAACGACAACGACAACGACAACGACAACGACAACGACAACGACAACAACGACAACGACAACGACAACGACAACAACAACAACAACAACAACGACGACAACGACAACGACAACGACAACGACAACGACAACGACAACGACAACGACAACGACAACGACAACAACGACAACAACAACAACAACAACAACACCAGCAGCAGCAGCAGCAGCGACGACGACGACGACGACGACGACCACGACAACCACAACAACAACGACAATGACAACAAAAACAAAAATAAATACACACCCAACAACAACAACAGCAACAACAACAACAACCACAACAACAACAACAACAACAATAACTACTACTACTACTACTACTACTACTACTACTACTACGACGATGACGATGACGACGACGACGTCGACGACGTCGACGACGACGACGACTACTACGACTACTACGACTACTACGACTACTACTATTATTACTACTACTACTACCACTACCACTACCACTACCACTACCACTACCACTACCACTACCACTACCACTACCACTACCACTACCACTACTACTACTACTACTACTACTACTACTTCTACTTCTACTTCTACCTCTACTTCTACTACTTACTGCTAAGACTACTTCTATTACAACAACAACCACTACTACTACTACAACCATGAACCAGACTAATTACCTTAGTGTCAATATATATATATATGTTTATATATATAATTATATATATATACAATTATTTATTTATATAGTTAAATCTACATACATATAGTTAAGAAATACATATGTATATATATATATATTCTCGGGATATAGTTAATTGTTTTTGTAGACATAACTTTGAATTGGGGGGCCACCTTGGCTTAGCGGTTGCATTTGAGGTAAAGAAAGAGGCGGCACTTGATAAAATCTTAGAAAGATTGGGATTGCACAAGAGCAGAACAACATATTTGAAGAGTGAATACTTGTCGGTGCAATTCGTGTTATACATGGGTATGCATAACGTCTGTCTGCATAGGAACATGAACCTTATTAACTCACCCCACCCCACCGGTAACTGATCATGAAAGAGCTGTGCCTGTCTCTGCTCTACGGGAAGAAAGATGATGAGGTTGCTGTGCGTGTGTATGCATAGGAACATGAGCCTTATTAACTCACCCCACTCCACGGGCAACTGATCATGAAAGAGCAGTGCGTGTAAGTGCTCTACAGCAAGAAAGATGATGAGGTTGCTGTGCGTGTGCAGGCATAGGAACATGAACCTTATTAACTCACCCCACCCCACCGGTAACTGATCATGAAAGAGCTGTGCCTGTCTCTGCTCTACGGGAAGAAAGATGATGAGGTTGCTGTGCCTGTGTGGGCATAGGAACATGAACGTTATCATCCCACCCCACCCCACCCCACCCCCCCCACCCCACGGGTAACTGATCATGAAAGAGCAGTGCGTGTAAGTGCTCTACAGCAAGAAAGATGATGAGGTTGCTGTGCGTGTGTCGGCATAGGAACATGAACCTTATTAACTCACCCCACCCCACCGGTAACTGATCATGAAAGAGCTGTGCCTGTCTCTGCTCAACAGCAAGAAAGATGATGAGGTTGCTGTGCCTGTGTGTGCATAGGAACATGAACGTTATCATCCCACCCCACCCCACCCCACCCCTCATGTTGCCGTGTAATGTTTGTTTATGATGGGGTTCCAGAAGTGACGCCTCAGTACCAATGGGGAAATGGGAAATCGACTCGCCCTCGACGCCGAAAAGTGCTTTTTGTGTTGGAAGTGAGTTGATTTTTGGTGTTGGGAGTGAGTTCTTGGTGTTGGGAGTGAGTCGGTGTTGGGAGTGAGTTGATTTTCGGTGTTGGAAGTGAGTTGTTAACCCTACCGGAGGGGTACCAGGCTTTTCCATGGTGCCATATGGATCTTAATCTGGCAGGTCAGAGGATCCCTTGTGTTCCGTCGAGGCGCTGTCATCGCTGTCCCACACACGGCGGACGTTTGAGCGTGGATGTTTTGAAAAGACACACACACACAGCGGCTTAGATGTATGATGAATATGAATGTACATGACTGTATATTAATATGATATATGATATGTATTTACTTCACATATGTTTGTATCATACTAGTGTGTCTAGTCTACTGCGCGTCATTCATGTAGATAGGGATGTCATTTTTGTATTGCCAATCCTTTCAACGACACTTCGATCAGTCGATTGTTTTTCAGGGAAGTCGTGTTGCTAGGTGAAATGGGACGATGCAGGGCATTTGCTGTTGGCACAGCCTCACCCCTCGTCGCACACCCAGTGGATGCCTTGCACTGGGTGCACCAAAAAATCGTGCCAATCCGCTGCTAATTTTGAAGCAATTTCAATGGTATCCTTGGTCATTAGCGCCTTGCTAAAATCAATGCGTTTCACGATGTTTCAAGTATCAGTTGGATTCAGAATACACTGCCCACTTGGCGGTTTCAACGAGGTTGCACTTGGACCGTGAAGCCACGAAGGCCGTGGAAGAAGACGACTTGGGCCGACTGCCAGAGATCTCAGAGCGGACCTGCCGACTGGCTCCAATTGCGGATTCTGGCTCCGTGCTTTCAGATTCCGGGCTTTCAACAGTTTACCCTCTGGTAATTCAACATAGCTAAGCCATGGAATTTTCTGGTGAATCTACCTATCAACCATGGTAATTTTCCGCAGCTGCTAAGCTGTGTTGGTTTTACCAAACAGATCCATCATTTTGAATATGTTTGATGAATTGGATATAACACGGGTGTGCCGATTCTTACCGTTTTTTTGCATATTTTTGCAGTTGACACCACCTCAAACTGCCATTCCCCTCGTGTAGCGTCCCTAGGTTGGTCCTGGTTTGGGATCGTGCATCAAATCAAGGAGCTGTTGGTGACCTTTTCAAATGGTTCCAGGGAAGAGCTCCAAAGATTCACACAAGTCTAAGTTTTGCTTGGATAAATTTAATAAATGCTTGGATTCCATTGGATTCCCTGATCCACCGACTTTTTCCGAAATTTGAAGACAAAAACCAGCTTTGCCAGGATCGAAGCCTGCGGAGTGAGGGAGCTGGTCGAGACGCAGTTGCGGAATGTGATCTGCTGAGATCAGCATGTACAATATAATTTGATATGGATGTGGGTCAAAATGGAAGACCGTTGGGACCACAGATGTGAATGTCTAGTGACTAGTATTAACCATCCATAATTTTGGGGTACCTAATTTTGACCCATACCCATATAATTTGATATGTGAAGAGGTACGATGCTTGAGATTTCTTGAGTCCTTGCACAGAGAGCTCTAAGATGCTCTAAGTGAGAATGCCAGCAGGACACTGCCAAGATACAACGCGAGGGCCCAGGGCGGCGTTTTTCTGCAAACATCTTGGCTTTCCCAATCAATGTCATTTATTCATTCTGATTCATGCAGGTTCTACAGGAGTGGTGGAGCATAGTTTGTTGAGCCCTTGGGCAAGTGCTTGCGGCGTTTCACTGCCATCAGGACACAACTTTGGGGACATCCATCGCTGTGGGCGATGAAATGCCAAGATATCCAAGATGCTGGGTGGAACTCTCTGGCAAACGCAACTCTGCGATGCATCCAAAATCGGCCAAGAGAAACAACTCTGAGTTTGCCCTTCACTCGTGGTTGCAGCTGTGAAGGGTCAGGGCCATGATTATTTATGACAACCAAGCAGTCACGAGTCACTAGTGGAGTTGTGATGCCGAGTCTCAATTTCGAATGTTCCACTGGCCGAACGCATGGTAACATGGTCATGCCACCTTAGAGTTGCTTCGGGAAGCTGGCAGCTGGACCTTACGAATATTTTTCAAGACAACAAGACAGTACTTCCATGATCTTCCATGCAACTTCGCAGGACTGGTTGGAGTAGTTGCAACCCTAGATAACCCAAGGTATAGAAGCTGTGCCACGTTGCCTTTGTGACGTTTAATGTTGACGCGCCGCTAGGCCGCTAGGCATTTCACCTCGAGCGCTAGCGCCAGAGTTTCTGATGGTTGACTGAGCTCTGGTGTTGACATGATCATGCAACCAAGTTTAGTTCTATGTATTGTACAATATTATATAATATTATATATAGTTCTATGTATTGTACAATATTATATAATATTATATATATATATGTATAGATATATGATATATAATATATAATATTATATATATATATGAGTATGAGCATAATGAAAAAAAATACGCCTCTTTTGGTTTCTCAGTCTTTCGCATGTCTGGTCCGGGCCTAGTTTTTTTGATGCGCGGAGTGGCACCGAAGAGGCGCTTGATGGGTTCGAAGATCTGAGGTTTTTACCCCATCACGGATCCATGGTGCTGGTATACAAACATAAAGGGGGTATATTGATGGGATCCATGTTACCATATATAGCAGCATACATGGATCCGTCATGGGTACATGAATCTCAAAGCTGCTGGACAGAACACTCAGAACACTCACCTTTTTTTTGGTGTTGAAGATGGGGATCTGAAACCCCCGTTTCAAAGTGTGATTCAGAACATCGATGATGCCGCAATCCTCTCAGCTTAAAACATCGGGTGAACCTTCCTTTGAATCTATATCTGACACCATGAACAACGCAGCAAGGTTGTTGCCAACAATGTTTGCGCCATGGCCGCTTGTGATGAATTGACAGATTCGGAAGAGCAGGAGAAAAGAGCCTAGCAAGATTGAACAACCCGCACTTGGGGGAAGAGAGCGGATGTAAAGCAGAAGATGCGAATGTGTAACGACACAAACAAGTTGTTATAGCTACCTTACCCACAGGAATGCAACAAACATTCATAGTGCAGCCATTTTCGGCGGTGTTTACCACAGACTGAACTGTAATGAAGATGGGCCATGAGATGTCAGATATCACCAAATTTTGCCTTTGGGAAAATGCGAGCACTGAAGCCTACCAGTGCCTTTGAACCAACGGCCAAGCAGGCACTTCAATTTGAAAGCGTGGCTCGCGTCCCTACATCACAGCTCGCTTTCACCACCGTTGCGGGACTTCAAAGTTAAACACGTTTTCCCCACAATGGCTTCGTTGTAAATGCGCGACCCTTGAGGACACCAGATTGCTTCACTTCGGTAGCCTGTGTGGCAGTTGTAGTTTTCGGGAGGTTTTGAACTTTAAATCGAAAGCGAAGCAAGGTCATACCATGTCATACCTGATCCCCCATGTTTGCCGAAACACACCGAAACAGACACTGAACCATCTCAACTCACTGGAGCGACTTGTCAGAAGAAACCTTGGGAGGAACGTCAAAAAACGCAGGGCTGCAGAGAGAGTGCGGGGGCACATTCCACAGCCTCCTGAGCTGTCGATATGGTTGCGAGTGCAGCAAGAGCAGCAAGCAAGGAGGAGGAGAAGGAGGAGGAGGAGGACATGACGAAGAAGACGAAGAAGAGGAAGAAGAAGAGGAGAAGGAGGGGTGGCACCTTTGTTAAAATCTAAAGAATGTAGTGAACAATTAATTTTTAGTTATTTCGAAAGCGGACGTTTAATGATTTTCCTGCCTAGACCGACCAATTCGTTATCTTCAAAGGGATAACCCACGGATACCCGCAGACTATTCCTATGTGTAATTAATTTTATTTATGTAATTCACTGGAAAAATCAATCTTCCAGACCCCCAAACCACCAACCCAAAACAACACACAAACATGCCCTGATCTTCCCTGAGCCGCTTTTTCATCTCCGAGTTACTTTTTTTCTGATCTGGGTTTTCTTTTCTTTGCCTTACCTCTTCTAAGTTGTTTCTTCTTCAAACTATTTGTTCTCTCAGCCATCTGTTCTTTGAGCTATGTCCTGTGCCACTTCTCTGAATTCCCTCTTCTGTAGCATATTCTGAGCTACTCGTGTTCTTCTCTGAAGCAATCCTTTTTTGAACTACTGTGAGCTCCTACCTCTTCTTTCTCAGCGGTCAAGTCGTTGAATAACCTCCGCAGTTAAGGCCTTTTACAGTTATAACTGAAGTGCCACTTACAATTATAAGTTTCAGTTATAAGTGACTTATAGCACTTATAAGTCATGTTCTGATCACTTATAAGTCTTACTTATACCTGGTTCAACAGTTTTTGCAACGGTTCTATCTCCCTTTTTTTCTACTTCGTAACTGTTGCAACTGTTTGGAAGTGAGGAAATGCCAGGAATAGCGCATGTAGATGATCACTTACACGGTATCATTTGAGATGTGGAAAGGAAACTCAGCAACCAAAAATTAACCATGACGAGTACAACCATGAAGCTGAAAAAATGTTTTTATCTTATCTGTGCTTGTCTGCGCAACATTGATTTATATATGTCAGATGTACTGACATATTGATTGACATGCGCGCTGACACATTCATTGCATAAAAATTGCCTAGAAGATGTGCAGACATGTATCTGAGATCCTGCTTGACACAAAGCAAGGTCGAGTGGACTGCGAGTGGGACTTCGTGAAGGCGCTGATATGGGGATTAGGGGAAGAAAATGATGAGCATGGAAATGCCAGCAAAACCCATTGCCTTCAAATTTGATGATTATTGATGACTATGTGTAGCCCCGTTTCGATAAATCCCCCCAGGAACTTATCCTGGCAGTTTTCTTAAGCATGAGGATGTCCCGTGCAAGATATGTTTGCATCAATTCTGTTGTTTCCCACAGGGACAAACCTGCCCGTTGTGAGGAAACATGTCAAGCTGCTTGGTGATCCAGCAGATCAGCTCCGTTGAGTCCTTGCACGGAGAAAAATATAGAGACAATGCGAATTGCACGCTGTCAAGATGCAGCGCGAGGGCCCAGGTTTTTCTGCAAACATTTTGGGTGTCCAAATCAACGTCATTTATTCATTCATTCTGGTTCATGCAAGTTCTACGTGAGCGGTGGAGCACAGTTTGTTGAACCCTTGGACGCGCATTGCCGCACCCGCGGCATTTCACAGTCATGCAGCTGTGACGAGACCTGGATTGTAGCAAGGTCACCTCACCATGTCGAATCAAAGAGTTGCGCTGGGAATTTCAATTGTGTACATCTCTTGAGACAGCACTTCCATTATATTTCGCAGGAATAGTTGGAGTAGGTAGGTGTATGCCTAACTGAAGAATCGAAGTAGACGCTTCGCTCCTTTGAGCTTGTCACTTTCCAATGATGGCTGGGCGCTTCAACTCAAGCACGGCGAGCATGATCGATTTCCTGCCATCCCCTTCAGACATCATCAGATCTCTGTTACTGGTGCGACCTGTCCAATGCTTATGGTCGTTAATGCTACTTGTATGCTTCTGCTTCCACTTGACATCACTTGACATTCGGATGGTTTCATGGGCTGATCCTGCTGTGGCGGGCAATGAAGCATCTAGTTCATTTGACATCTTGCACGATGTCATGTAGTGATTCAACTTTGAAAGTGACCAAAGAGTTGAGGACCAATTAGGACCCACTGCATCCTGGCAGTGCCGTGCCATGTGCCCGCGATGCGTCTGATCTTTCTGGATATCGATGGGGTGCTGGTGACACGCCGACCATGTGTTATGGAAGAGACACTCGGTAGCAAGGTAGCATCTGTGCTGAGAAACCATTCGTCGAGATCAGAGGTCCTTGACACCCCAAAGCTGGTTTTTGGCAGCATGAACCAAAGCATGTCTCTTCGCAATAAGGAAGTGGCTGTTGTTGGAGAGGGCATGCAACATAGATCAACATAGTATGTGTTTCCTAGATTCCTGCGTCGCAATGCGTCGCAAATAGATCAATTGCTAGTTGTCAAAAAAATGGTTGGTGAAACTCCCCGTTGCCAAAATCCTGCTTTGCGTGGGCCAAGTCGCCGCAGGAAGTTGTTGCAGAATCTTGCACGGGTTGGAGCCCAAGTGCTTGGCTTGTGTGTATGGCTGTGGTCCAAATCTGTCAACATTTTCTAAGATGAATATCGTTCTTAATGGGTTGATAACGGTTCATCATGTCAACAATGGTTATCAATAAATTATCAATAAAACAATATCATCCGTACTATTAATAGCTGATATATTGATATTATACGAAGCGGGGGGATGAACATCTATTTTATCAGGTAAGAGGCGCGAATTGGAGGTCGCCACACAGGGGTCGACTCACATATTTGAAGCTGCAGTGTAGAAGACCACAATGGATGAAATGCTTGAACAATCTTGAAAACGCTTATTTTATTGTGTTTAGATGTTTTTAGAATGTTTTAGATATTTGAACATATTTGATATTTCCAGTCAAAAAAATTGCCTCCAAAAATGAGAACCAATTTTTCAGTGCCAAGCAGCGAAGCCGCTGAGGTGGCCAAAGAGACTGGAGCAAAGATTGTCCTCTCCAGTGACTGGCGTAGCTCGCCACGGTCGTGTCGTTACGTTTACATCGGTGATGAATTCCATTTTTTCGTGCCAATCTGAACATCAAAAATCAGCTAATTAATCGTTTTTCGGACCAGTATATTCAGAATCCGGTGTTATTTCCTGAGGATGAGATTTAACACCATATTATGTAAATATATAGAGTTGCCAATATTCCAGCCAATCACGTTTGAGTTGATTTGCCATTTCCAGCCATGGCACAAAACGTACTTACTGGGACTGACTGGGACTAGCGGTGATTTTCCGGTGAGGCCAAAAAATCGGGATCAAGTGATCATCCATTCTATTCCTATCATAGTTACGGGAATAGCTAATATTTATATGATGGATTATAATATAATATAATATAATATAATATATGTGTTATTATCTAGATGTGTTTTGATATCTTTATAGTTAGATGGGCCGAAACTATTGATATCTATTAATCAGATGCAAAGAAAACTTGGATGGTTTCCAAGCTTGTTTTTTTCCGGAAAAGGTTGCAGCAGCCCCCCTCCAGATTGGTGAAAGCCATGACTTCCTGTTGGAAAATCCCTGCAAGCCATCAGGTTCTTTATTAAGTGCTTCAAAATCGGGGGACCCCCGAGTTGTTCATACATTTGGTTATACACCCACTTTCTGGATGAATAGAACTTCCACGGTTTTAAAGGGGCTGGAGGCTCCCATGATCTCCCCACAGAAACCCCCACAGAAGGGGGTGCAGTTGGGAATGGATCTAAACATGGTGAGTTCACACCTCTATAGGTCTGGATCATCTGGATATAGTTCTCCCTTTTTTTTGACACGGGTATATAACCACTATTAACCACTTCAAACTTGAATGGCTTTGTGTGAAGGAAAATCTTGAGGAAACCTAGGTTTTCACATGTTTTTACCAGCAGTTTGAAGGCGAAAGCCGTCACTTTTCCTATCCCAGTCGTCACCCGCCGCCATAGGTCGCCACCCAGAGGCTCGGGCCGAAGCCCAGCAGGTGCTGAACTCGATGGGTGCCTTGGCCCGCTAAAAGGACATGAAGATGTTGTGAATTCAGCGATTTTTCCGCGATTTTTCAGCGATTTCATCCAAAAACCAGGTGGATTTCATGGGATTTACAGTATATGGGTTTATCTGAATTTAGGATGGTTTCATGCAATGGTTTTATCTGAAAGGTATTGATTGATAGCCGTTTGAGGATGTGTTGAGACCTTTGTGACCCCCGGTTTGGGGCTTTCGAAAGAACCATGAATTTATCGGTGTTTGCAAAGATGAAAGTGTGCCTTACCTCGAGTGGTCCAATTGGATAGAAAGGAGTCCCAATTGTTTCATTGGGAATTCACCACCAAACTCCGCTAGAGGATTGGGATCATTCGCTACGACTGGGATGACTGGGTAAACTGGGTCAGTTTTCTGGTTGGGTGTACAGGACATAACATAACATTTCATTAAGCATAGCATTGACAGATGTTTGCAGCGTATTCCATGACAATTTGGATACTTTTTCATATCCCATGATTTCAGAGTATTTCATGGCATTTCATGGCGTATATCACAGTTTTTTCATAGTGTTTCATAGTGTTTTGGATGATTTCCATTGTTTTCCCATGATTTTTCATGGGATTTTTCATGTTGTTAGGATTTCAGATCCCCCATCTTGCTCCAGGCCTGGAATTGATCGGATGCACGCCCTGTGACTTGGCGCAACGACATCAGCATGGGAAAAACTTTGGGAAGAACTGAAAGGTTGAAGAATTCCTCCTTTGAAGAACTTTAGTTTGATTTTTTGTTTGGTAATTTTTGTTTAAATTCCTCATTTTGAAGAAGTTTGACTCAGTGGGATTGATATGTCATTGAGGATCATGGCGCATTTCATGCAGCATCAAACGAACGTTGCATCAGAAATGGTTGTGTTTCGAACTAGGGCATGCCTGTTGAAATGACCATACCTTGGAGGGGCCATTCCCCATTTTCAGACACACTCATGTATCACATTTGGTATTTGTATATCCGATAGTATATCCCATCATACCACTTTTTTTTAGTCACCCCTTTTAAGTTGATCAGACATCAAAAAAAAATACGGCAGCGAAAAAAAAAACGATGATAGTCCCATGAAGTTCAACCCGGGGAAAAGCCCACATTTTTTTCAGCTCCGTTCTGAGGTAAAAGCCCTTATTTGGCCCAAAGGCCAACCGAGATCTTGGAGTGGAAGAGAGATTTTCTCAGGAGCATTGACTGATTGATGGTGTCTGCCATTGTTTTCAATGGATACTATGGAAATCTATGGAAATTCTCAAGAGCGCAATTGTGAAAATTCTTCTGAATGTGGGATGAACAGCAACACATTTGCAGCACAAGGTGCGATCCAATCACCAGAAGAGTTCCGTGGACGTGTGAAAGTTGTTGCTGGTTCGTTTCCAACTGAAAACAACACAGCTACTTCAATTCAAGCAATCATGATTTTGCATGTGTTTTTGTTTTTTACATTTAAAAAAACATTTTATCATGATTGAGACTTTAAAAGAGATACCCTTGGTTGGTATGTTGATGTATCCTGGGATTATGTCCACGCTTAATGATCCAACCATAGCCATGATTCTTGGTGCTTATAATATTTCTCTAAAGATGATCCATAGTTATAGTGATTACTCCGGTTGTTATAACAATAATATGGATAGATACTCGTGTAATATTTGAATCCATAATGATTATATTCATCTATATTCCATATCATATATATTGTCCGAGGGTAGATAGAATATTACGACTTCAAATAATTACCCAGTAAAACAGGAATATCTTTGAAACAATTCATATTCTATCTACTTCAGCATGATTACATATATATATATACTGTGGTGTTTTTATCATAGGTGAATAGTTGCTATAGGGTTATACATAATATATATATACTATTCTATCGGGTCACCCCCACATATTTACATATATATTTTATGTAATTATAGTATATATAATATGTTATCCGGGTCACCCCCATATGTTTACATATGTATATATATATACTATCTTATCGGGTCACCCACACATACACATATATATACTTTAAACCCCACAACGCTTCCACTCAGCTATCACAGCAGCAACAGCAGCTGAATTGGGATTTGAGTGGATTTTTTCAAAAATTGGGATGATCGGGGTTCCTTAGAACGCTCGCTACCGGTAGTGAATTGGGGTTTGAATTGATTTTTTCTAAAATTGGGATGATCGGGGGCCCTTAGAACGCTCGCTACCGGTAGTGAGTGTTCTAAGAGGGAGCGACGGTCGCTCCCTGTTAGAACGCTCCCTAAGATAGATAGTGTTCTAACAGGGTGCGACGGTCGCTCCCTGTTAGAACGCTCGCTACCGGTAGTGAGTGTTCTAAGGGGGGGTTGGCAAACATCGGACCAGGGATGATCTTGTGTTTTCGCTGGGGTCTTAGTGAGAAGAACGCAAGATTGAGGGTGCTCCAGCGACAGGAAACCTCCCTTAGAACGCTCGCTACCGGTAGTGAGTGTTCTAAGAGGGAGCGACGGTCGCTCCCTGTTAGAACGCTATCTATCTTAAAAGCAGCAATTATACATATGGATGATTGGGGGGCCCTTAGAACGCTCGCTACCGGTAGTGAATGGGGAATTCTTTCAAAAATTGGGACGATTGGGGTTCCTTAGAACGCTCGCTACCGGTAGTGAATGGGGAATTCTTTCAAAAATTGGGACGATTGGGGTTCCTTAGAACGCTCGCTACCGGTAGTGAATGGGGAATTCTGTCAAGAATTGGGATGATGGGGAGCAATTAGAACGCTCGCTACCGGTAGTGAATGGGTAATTCTGTCAAAATGGGTAATTTTTGAAAAAAGCCGGCTGTTGCTGCTGTGATAGCTGAGTGGAAGCGTTGTGGGGTTTAAAGTATATATATAATGTGTGTATGTGTGGGTGACCCGATAAGATAGTATATATATATACATATGTAAACATATGGGGGTGACCCGGATAACATATTATATATACTATAATTACATAAAATATATATGTAAATATGTGGGGGTGGCCCGATAGCATAGTATATATATATATATATTATGTATAACCCTATAACAACTATTCACCTATGATAAAAACACCACAGTATATATATATATATATTATAGATATATGAAGGTTTCCTGCAATGGGGGTACCGCCAAATGGATGGTTTATAATGCAAAATCCTACTAAAATGGATGATAACTGGGGGTAGCCCTATTTTAGGAAACCTCCATATATTGCAACAAGTGATGTCGTAGTGTAGTGTGCGTTAGCTAGCGGAATGTAGCAACGTAGCTATGTCGATATGCTCGTTAGCATCTGGCTCATAGGCAACTTACCCCCCAGCTAGTCCGATGTGGCTAGCTGGGGGTGTCGATCGGGCCAAGTGGTATAAGTTCAAATTCGAGGCTTCTCAGATCATCGAAGGTGCAGTTCGAGATGATGCTGGGAAGCCACAGGGGACTATGCTCATGGAAGTCCTCGAGAAGGAGTCCACGGACACGCATGGTCACTGGTTGCTGGGTAAGTACATCACTGCGTCGGACTCCCATCTGCGGTGGTGGATGACTTCAGGCGAGGGAAAGAAACTCGCTAAGAAGTGCCACTACCACTGCCCCTCCGTGGATTGTGAGGCGCTGGGGGGAGGCAAAGGCATCCACTTTAAGAAGTTCCGGCCCATCACGCAGGCTGACATCGACGCCAAGAATCCATCCTCGGCATTTGGGCGAGCCTGTGCCAGGGAGTTCAAGGCCTACCTGGAGAGCAGAAAAGAGCCTTTACCCTCACATGGAGGTGACAGAGCGGAGTTACCCTGGCGTGAGTCAGGAGAGGAGGACAAAAGTGGGACAGAAGCTGGATCGGAGTCAGCTGAGGTCAAAACTGAAGGAGGCGCGTGATCGCTTCAAGAAGTTGGAGAGGCGCCAAGAGCGTGCTGCCCGCAAAGGCAAAAGCGTGACCGGTCCAGGGGCCGATCCGTTGAGAAGAAAAAGAAGAAGCCCAAGAAGAAGAAGGAAAGGAGCCGTTCGCGTAGGAGGCGTCGGAGTTCAGGTGAATCACCCCCTAGGCGGGAGAAAGAGCGTCCTCAGAAGGACGACAAGAAGGCGGCCCAGAAGCCGAAGAAGAAGAGACGCTCCTCAATCTCGAGTTCATCACGTGACTCCTCTGCCAGTGGGAAGGATGAGCTCTTCGGTGGGGCGCGTGGCAGTGGAGATCAAGGTGCTGGTCACAGCAAGGGCAAGGCTGACCGGGGCCCGTTTGGCTCAGGTGATGCGGTGAAGTTTGGAGGGGCGTCTGAGTCTGACACGGAGTCTCTTCGAGACGCCCCCACGGACCGAAAGGCGACGAGCCAGCTCCAGCTGGTTCAGTATGCGAGGAAGATGCCGGGTCGTCTGGCTTCTCGACTTCTCTTGAAGATGAAGCGGGAAGGGGCCCAAGGGTTCGTGGGGGCAGAGTTGGTGAAAGGCATGACTCCTCCGGTGGCAGTGCACTACTTGGTCACCATCATGACCTCCACACTGGGGAGCCGCTTGAACCTGAGGGCGTTGCGGGAGCTCCGCACTCTGTGCACGGTCTTCGACCTGCTGGCGCAGCACTGTCCAGCACAGGCGGCGGATCTGGTGGGCCAGAGGATCAAGGCCCTGGAAAAGGCCACTCTAGACGGCCATTGGGCTTCGGCCCAACACCTCGAGCTTCTCAATCCCGAGGCAGGAGGGCTGCTCGACCGAGACGAAGAAGTGTTCACCTCGAGGGAGTACCTCCTGGACATGAAGCTCAAGAACTACGAGGGGCTGAAGAGGTCGCCCAAGCTGGATCAAAAAGGAGACAGGGAGAAGGGCGGCCGAAAAGGGAAAGAAAAAGGAAAGTCATACACAAAATACACGCCTTGAGGAAATGGCCTTGAGGAAATGCAAAATTTTGAGTATTTTTTTTTTTACCTCAAAACCAGTCAAAAGGCTTCAAACATGCTCATGCAGCACTCGAGCACCACTCAAACCAAACCAAAATTGAACAAAATTGACATATTTTTCTCGGCCATTTTTTGAGATAAATTGAGGGGCCATTTTCGGATGTTGAAATCTCAAAATATTTCGCATGCTCTCTGTGCGCACTTTAGCTGGCTCAGAACAGCTCGCTGGGATGAAAAAAGCGGCTGATGGAGATGTCCAAAACTTGATGCCAAGACATTACCAAATAGCCAACAACCAAAAAGAAAAAAAACTCAAAATGTTTCAAAAAAAACCAAACGGTCTCAATTGCAAATTTTAGTTGTTAATTGACCAGTTGCTCAAATGGCCTCAATTGCAACCAAATGGAACCAAACTAATTCAATGGCTTTTTCTCCGGTCCAAGGATTTGTTCACTCAGAGCTGCTCATAATGTACCCAAATGCTCTCACATAATGGGGGGCTAGTGTCACTTAGAAGCTCTCACCCTGACTCAATCTCACTCAAATGCTCTCACAGAATGGGTGGCGGGAACAAACAACCAAACAACACAACCAAAATCAGCCAAACATACTTCACCAAGTTTTTTTCCCGAGCCATGTCGTTGCTCGGGAATTCAAATGGCATCGATTGCGCCATTCCAGCCGATGCGGAAAACCAGCAATCGGTGTGGCTGGCGGTGGCTGTTGCTGACAGCCTCTTTTCGGTGCAGGAGCAGATAGGGCGTAGCAGGGATCTAGCTGTGAGGATGCGTTCCACTATGGAAGCGGCACATGAGGTTCATGCCCAGGTTTGGCCGGGGGTGGAGCCACCGAATTTCCAAGAAATTTCGGTGAGCCGACAAAAGTTTCAGCAGATCCTTGTTTGTGCGATGTATGCATATTTTTTCGGTATAAATCACAATTCAAAAGAAAAATTGCACATATATTTGGAAAACTGTGCATCCCTTTTGTATGAAAATTATAATCGATTAACAGCCTGAGCCCATTTGAGTTGAGGCGAGGTCGGGGTGAGAGCATTTGAGTGGTCATGTCCCCCATGTCAACCTAGGAAATGGTACCCGTATCCAGAGAGATTGTGGCCCAGGTTCTGGAATCACAGGCTTGAAGGAATTTGAAGGAATTTGACTTTAATTACCACATTTTTGACGAAAGCTGATGATTCCATTTGAATTAAGGAATTTGACTTTACCATTTTTTGGACGAAAGCTGATGATTCCAGAGTTTCAGCGGCACAGCTGTTTCACCGATGCTTAAGG